GAGCCTAACTGTCCGAGAAGAATTCAAACCAGCTATTTTTAGGCAGCACCAAAGGCTCCTGAGGGCTGTTGCAAATTCAAACGGCTTGAATTGGGTGCTACGTGGAGCACACTAAGGAGTTTTCATTCTAGGAAGAAAGGGGCATCACAACGGCTCAATAACCTTGTGCTATGTGCTTTCTCGATTTTATCTCACTTGGTGGTCACAGCAATCTTTAAAGGTTGGAACTGTCCCCATTTTACAGATGAGGCGCTTGAGGCTCAGAGAGGAAACAACGTGGCCAGAGTCAACACGGCAAGTAGTGAGAAAGCTGGGATAGAAGCGGTGTCTGCCTGATTTCAAAACCTATGCTGCCCCCCTAGCCTTTGTGGACTCTGCTTAGGGGCGAAGAGCAAACCAATTCTCCCCCCTCAGGATGCAGAAGGAGGAAATTTTTCTAGCTGTCATCTCCTCGACCCTACACAGCAGAACTCATGAAGATTCATATAAATTATAAAATTCAGGGGTCCCGGGCACCTATTAAAGTGAAGGAGAGACCTCCAGAACTGGCAAAGGAGGAGCTAGGCATGGTCCATCCATCCAGTGTGACTTGCCACGAACATCTGAGGCTCCCCTTGGCAGAAGCCACCAGAATGGAGGATCAGTGAGCACAACACAAGTACTGCACGAAATTCCCCTTCTAACTTTCAAAGACAAAAAACTGCCAAGACTAACAGTACACAAAATACACTGTGTAAAGTGTGAGCCATAAGTCAAGGATCTATTTTTTCCATGGTACTGTAAGCTTCATAATACTTCCACCAAGACAGAAAACAAACAAACAAGCAAGCAAGCAAGACGAAAAGGTGCTGAATCCTGGGAGAATCTGGCCTGCCTCCAGTTTTGGGGGCTTTAGGCTGCACGAAAGGACGGTCAGCACCATGGACAGCCACCCAATGGGCCCAACGTGTATCTAACACATTCAATGTAGTTCTAAGGAATCTTCTAACACAGATCTTGCAAGAATCTTTCAAGCAAATGAAATTTCTTGCAACATCCTGTAAAGCCGTAACGTTCTCAAATCGCTGGCAGGTCTCTGCCCCTGGGAGGAGAGCTACACTTGCTGACACATTTAGCAAACTGCTGTGAAAAATGTAATCCAACCAAGAAGGAAGTCCATTTCTCGGTTCTTTTGTAACAAGGGCAAAGAGTCCACGTGCCTGAGAGTCTGTGTCACGGAAGAATAGCAAGGTGCCTGCAGACATTTGCTCTGCTAACCTTTTAATGCTCTCACTACTTACTGTAAGAGCATTCCATCACCTCGGAAACATGTAGGCTGCCTCCCTATGCAAGGTGTATGCCCCACCAGTGGTGCTTGGGAGACAAGAAGCCTCCTTTGGATCTTTCTAATCATTAAGAATTCTGTGCCACTGCTCAGGGAAACGCAGTTAAGATACATTGTTGATATCAACTAATGACTCTACAAACGGAATCCAGTTTCCACCATACCTGTTTCCTGGTGTGTTTACTCATTTCCCTGCCTGGTATAATACTCGCTGCTATCGTGTGCCAGTACCTCGGAAGGCCTCCCTTTCTGATTTACTTGTGTATAAATCGTGTCCAGGAATGGGAAGCCAAAGGTGCCACTGGGTTCTGACCCAGTCACAAGGACACTGGCAATTCTGTTTTGCTTCGAGTCCGCAAATGGGGCAGAAGGAGAGATCAGAGGTCAGGGAAAGGAGGAGGTAAGCTAGATCCAAGGAGTTCTCCCAAAAGAGAGGAGATGAGGTCCAGAATCCCTTACAAGAGGTCAAGGTGTCTACAGCACTGTAGTGAGTGAGCACCCAAACTAGCAGTCAGGGAACTGGGTTCCAGCCCAAACTCAGTCCCTAAGAAGCACTGCGGCCTTGGAAAAATCATGCCTTCCCATCATTTCCTAAAGCTACCTTTAGGCTTTTGCACACCCCATTCCCTTTGCCTAGACTTCCCTCCCACCCCTTGGCAACTTCAGTCTGGATATCCTCCTCTTCCACACCAGGAAAAAAATCCCATGCATCTTTCAAGGCCCTAATAAAACAGCCTTCTTCTGTGCAGAGTTTCAGTTTCTAAAGCTGTAAAACGGGACATCAGCATATAAGAAGGTGCTCCCAATAGGGCAATCAACACATGACCTTTGCTGACCCTGGACTTTTTGTTCATGGCTGGAATATACGGCTCTCCCTCTCATCCAGAAGTCTCCTTAAAATGGGATCCCACCCAAATGTCGCTCCCTCGGCTCCTGAAGACAGAACCACTGCCATTCCCCCATATATACACCCCCATGCTTGAACAGACCCCATTGGTGCCGGATCTGTTTCTCCACTAGACCATGAGCTCCTCAACCATGGAGACTGTGCTTTATTCTCCACTCATCCTCTCCATGCCTAATCCCCATGGATGCTCATCAAGTGTTTTGGTTCAATGAATGGTCTCCATGTTCTCTCCAGACACCATGGTATCAACAGGGCGCCCACCGGGATTGGCACATCGTCAACCATCCATCTCCTTATCCAAGCCACTTCCATTCTTATCTCAGCCATAGCAGCCTTGAGGTTAATAAGGCTTCAATTTTCTTCTGGAATCTCCAGCTGAAGGTGCCCAAGCTTCCAATCTTGTACAGTGATGATTCGGGACAACTGCAGTGGACTTGGAGAAGCCTAGACTCCACCCTCAGCAGACATGACTACGTTCCCCTCTTGGACATAAATATAAGACTCCTTTCTCAGATGGAACAAAACACCATCCTGGCTAACTTTTCTGCTGCCGAGGTGGGCAAGCGGAGGGGTGCAGGAACATCCCCGCCAGCCTCAGGGGCTACTCTGCAGCACCCACACAGCCCCCCCACTGCTACAAGGGCAAGACACACCCCCTTGTACAGAATCTACTGTCTTTGTGTGCCGAGGCTTGTATATTTCAACGGACCGAACATCTTCGATGGCCTGTGACAGTGTGCTTCACATCAGGTGATCACAATAGTGTGTGTGCGTGCGCGCACGCGAGCATGAGAGAGAGAGACAGAGAGAGAGGGGATACATCCAGGTTATCCAGTCAATCTGAACATTAACCAAAAGCAGGTCTGGCTGATATCTAACGATCTACATGGCCTTATTCTTGTTATCCAGCCCATCGTCATCCACTAGGATGTTGTAGCGGCAGCAGCCTTCTCACGAAATGCCCATGATTTTAGGGCCATCTCTTCACATAGTCAAGGTCACCATAAAAATAACATAAATACTGGCATAAGGGGATCAGTGTGAGGATGGTAGTTTCACCATCAAATTAAAACCTCGTGGGGCGCCTGGGTGGCTTGGTCGGTTGAGCATCCGACTTCGGCTCAGGTCATGATCTCACGGTCCGTGAGTTCGAGCCCCGCGTCGGGCTCTGTGCTGACAGCTCGGAGCCTGGAGCCTGTTTCAGATTCTGTGTCTCCCTCTCTCTCTGCCCCTCCCCTGTTCATGCTCTGTCTCTCTCTGTCTCAAAAATAAATTAAAAATGTTAAAAAAAATTAAAAAAAAACAAAAAACAAAAAAACAACCTCGTTATGCTAGCGGCCAAACGAGGGACTCGCTGTGTGGCCATTCTTCCGCCTGGGTTTCACACGCCACCTTGGCCAGCCAGGACCCCAGCCCCGGGGGTGAACTGAGGCCCCCGTGGGGAGGCAGACAGTGCTTCCGATGGCAGCAACCCGCACCTGTGCAAACTGGCAACACGCGCCACCCTACTGCGCGGCAAAAGCCCGAGTGGGGCTTCGAACACACGGGATTTGGGAAACGGAACACATGGCCAAGCAGACCCACCACGAATTTTTATCAACAATGGCATTCCCATGGGAAAAGCCTGTCTCTACGTTCCGCCAAACCCACCTGTGTCCTGGGCAGGCAGCGTCACCTCTGCTGAGGTCTGAGGCCTTATTATTCAAAGTGTGGCCCCTAGCCCAAAAGCCTAGCGTCACCTGGGAGCTCCTCAGAAATGCAAACTCTCACCCTGACCGGCCGAACCCGAACGTGCTCTGTAACAACATCTCCATAGGGTTCACGGGCACATTCAAATGTGAAACGCTGGCCCAGGGGTCAGACGTGTGGCTGTGGGTTCCTGTCCCTGCCTCAGGGACTGCATCAGAAGGGTAATCGGGAGATACCCAGCCCTCCATCTCCTGTCAAGGTCATCAGCAATCTTCATAGGTTTGCAGATCACCTTTAAACACACTGTGTGGCCTTGGGCAGGTTTACTTAAACTCGATAAGCCTCAGTTTCCTCGGTGTAAAATGGGAATGATTAACACGGAGGCTGTAAGGAAGAGAAATGAAATTGGGCCTGTCGTGGGCTTGGGACAGTGCCTGGCACAGAGCAGATTCCTGCCAGACAGACATTACCTGTTCCAGAAGGGGGACGGCGGGACAACGTCTGCGGAAGAGGGTCCATGCTCACTCCCCTCCCTCCCTCCGTGTGGAAACTGGAGAGCACGTCCAGTAAGACCGAAGCAGAGCATGAAAGACGTGGGCCCTGTAACTGGTTTAAGTCCTCTGCTGCTTATGTGACACTGACCCTCAGTTTCCTTTACTGTAAACTGGGAATTAGAGAATAATAGCGCCTGTTTCCAGGGTCACCGTGAGGATGTGCTACTCCACATAAGGCACTGAGAAAAGGACCAAGTGTCTGCCTTTGTCATTATCTCTGTCTGCATCATCATTAGAGACAAACGCTTTCAGAAAATCAGGAAGGCAGGCCGAGCTCAGGCTCCAGCTCACTCTGTCAGGGAGGAAGACAGGGGAGAAGGCGGAAGACAGGAGGCCGCTCTGGGTGGGAGGGAGGGAGGGGACACAGCTCGTGGAAACATCCGAATTCCACGGATCAAAGCGTTCGGCAAGGGCCGCGGTGGAAGGTGGGGCGGGCGCAGGGCTGCGGGGAGTGCTGGGGAGCCCCAGCAGGCGCAGGGCAGGGAGCGGGCGGCCTTGCGGGGAGGGGCGGGGCCAACTCACGTACACCTGCGCGCAGACTCCTGGGCCAGCTGCAGCCGGAAGACGGACAGGCGGTTGGCGCCGCCGCACACGCTGCTGCGCTCGCCCTTGCACTCCATGTCGCACTCGGCCTCGCTCACGTTTGTCGCCTGGATCTTGTGGCCGCAGTAGCACTCCGCGCCGAACTCCAGCCCGGCATACAGGTAACCCCTGGGGAAGGCTGCTGTTAGTCCAGGGCAGCTACCACCATGCAGACCCCGGGGACACGGAGGCTCACCCAGCAAAGTGGAGACCTGGGGCAACTGGAGGGCTCTGGGGACAAGGACCCCCAGGGACACCCCCCCATAGCCACACTGTGTCCTACTGACACCCACCTTATACACTTCCACACGTGGCACACTTCACGCGCACGCGCGCACACACGCACGCGCCTCCAAGCCCAGGGTCCTTCTGTCCCAACCCACTCTCTTGCTCCTCCCTGCCTAGAGCCGTGCTCCAGAGTCCACCCCTTTATTGCAGGAAACATCCCCCCAAATGATGCCTCCATGTCCCTTGAGAAAAGCTGGAAGGAAGGGAGGAGGCAGGGGCTCTCGTATCCCCTTGGAAGATGGCAAAACCAAGGTCACGTATCCAGCCAAGGAAAAAAATTCCTTTTCCTAAAACTAAACGAAAACAAAACTCCAGGCACGGCAAGGTTTTTGACTTATTTTCCCCTTGGCCTTGGGATCGTTTCCTAAAAAGGACCCTGTGGACACTCGTTTTCTGTAAACAGATGAGACGCCACGGCCTGTCTTGGCTGTAGCGGGTAGGGGCGAAGGGAGAGGATTAGGACAAGCCCTCATCAGCCCCTCTCGCCTCGGAGGCGGAACCAGGAAGGCTCCTCCGGCAGCAGCCTGCAGAATGCTGGCCACATAAGGCTGGCCGGAGGGGAACGGTCGGCTCAGGTCGTGACTCTGGACACCTGAGGGCAGCTGGAGAGACAGACCCGCCCCGACTCGTGCCCCCACATGCCTCAGCGACTCCGGGTGGCACCTGCCCTTGCCTGCTCCACACACCCGCCTGGCCGGGTACAGGGAGAGCAGCTTAAACCAAACGGGTGTCTCGGTGCCTGAACCCCACCGAAATCCTGGGGCTCGGCCAGCCTGCTTCCACCCGTCTTAGTCTTCCCGTCTCTCTGAAGCCTTTGCTCTGGGGTACCCCGGACCCCTCTCATGAAACTGGACCCACTAACAGAAGGAACAATTTCCAAGGGAAAAGAAAAAAAAACCACTTCCAGTGGGTGTTATAACTCCAGAGCCGGTGGGAGCTTCCTCCTCGCCCCTCCCTTGGACAGGAGACACCTGCCACGTCAGGACGCACAAGCGGGCCCCAAGGACACGTCCGTGTGGTGAGGACCCGAGACCTCAGGCCACCAGCCAGGTGCGTGCCTGTCTCGGGAAGGGATTCTCCAGCCCTGTCCAAACCCTCAGAGGCCGCAGGTCTCCGCAGTCCCTTGAGAGCAAGCCCATGGGGACATTGAGGCAGAATCATCTGGCTAATCCCACTCCCGGGCCATTATTTCCTGACACCCAAAAATGGTGTGGGATGATAAACGTTTGTTGGTTTAAGACACTACATTTGGGGATCATTGGTTGCCCAGCAACGGATAACTAATTTGGGAAGGGAAACGGAATGAGCCTTGCCATCCTTCAGGCCACTGGGGTGTCCCTGGGAGCGCCCCAGACTACTGATCCCGATAAACCTCCTGTTGCCCTTGCCGGGAGGATCTTTCCAGAATTAAAACAGATCATACCTCTCCACTCTCTAAACCAGCCC